TATACTACATGAAAAAAAAAATCGATTTTCAATAAAAGGAAAGAAAAGTTTAGAAAATCTCAATTTTGGTCAAGGAAAAGGGAGATATCAGAGAAAGGTTAAATAATCCACTAGTGAAACTAGACTCCAGGGAAAGGCTCAAACACTTGATGGGGGAAAGCAGACAAGCAAAGAACACAGAGTTACCTGAATTTGTTCTTTTACCTATCTACCCTCTATTATTTTCATTATCCCATTATCCCATTTTTAGAATTCTAAATTCTGCTTCCATTTTTTGATTAAGAGAGCACTGCATCCACTTTTTTCCTAAGAAAACATATTTTTGGACTGGAAGAAGTATTCTGCATTCTGTTGCCAACAGAGGAAATATTAAGCCCCATTTCTTGTTGTGAATAAATGTTCCAGAAAAATAAAAAGCCATAGCTTATACTGAACACACTCCAAAGCCAACTAACTGATTAGAAGTTCAGTTATTTTAGAGCAGATGAATATTTCAAATTAGGGTACAATTACAGTTGATCTTGGACAACTCTTTGTCTGAACTAACATACTTTTGACTATCAGATAAAACACTTTGGGATGTAATAACTTAGCAGTTCATTGGTTTCCACCAAGCCAAAGGTGAAGATTTCCCTCAATCAGTATCTGAAACCTGTAATGGAAGCTTTTCCACCTTGCTGCAGCTCACCTGATGTTTCTTCTAACGTGTTTGACAAGTGCCTTGATTTACCCCATTTTTTTTTGTCTTGTTATTGTAGAACTTTGTGAAGCTGATGCTACCTAGGACATGGAATTTGAGATATTCTGAGTCTTGAGTCTGTGTTCTTGGGTCATTGTCACTTCTATTGTTTCACTTTTGTGGTGGAAGCTGTTTCTTCTGTATATTAGTTTAACTTTGTAGTCATGTAGGAATTTCTTTTTGTGGTCCTCAGTCCAGGCCGTGTGTCTGAGGTTAGTAAAATAGATGTCAGCATGAATTCTGTAAGGTCTCCTGTTATTTTAAAGCCTTCTGAAAGCTTCTCTGCCATTGGGTCATGTTTAACCTTGCAGTAACTTGCAAGTAGCACTGTCCTTGGCTATTTTTTACTGAAACACACTGTGACTAACCATTTGGAGATTTTCAATGAAAGTGTTTCAAATATGTATCCTTTATTAATTTCCTAAATCTCTTACTTAGCAGAGCAGAATGTGTTGCAAGGATATTTGCAGTTTGAGATAGTTTTGATGGATGAGGCAGGTATAAGAAAAAAATTAGTTAAGTCATGGAAGTAAAAGAAATGTCTGGATGTGACTCAGACTGTGGTTGCCTGATTGACAGTTGCCCTTGATTTGGACCTGATGGTGTACATTCCTTTATGATTTTCTTTCCGACATGAATAGAGACAAGATGTGTCATCAAGAGGCTATCATGAAAATAATTATGTGTAACTGTTAAGACTAGGTACAAATTTTACTTTTCTGGTCCTTGGACAACTCATTCCTAAGTAAGCCTATGTTATGGTATTTATGGGGAGTAGCTGTTGTCTCCTTCTTTAAACCACTATGACTTCCAGAACAACCAGAAGCAGTATCCCTACCTTATCAAGCCTCCAGGCAGTCACATTCAAACCAGAATCCTGCCAGGAAGCATTTGGAAAGTACTCAAATACGGATGTCCTCAAAAAATATGTGAGATTAGTGATGATTAGTTTTATTATCAAATTGACACAAACTAAAATCTACTGGGTTGAGTCTCAGTGAGATGATGTCTTGATCAGGTTTGCTTATGAACATGTTAATGGGAAATGTTCTTGATCACTCATTTACTGGTGTGGGGAGATTCAGCTGTCTATGGGCATCACTATTTCCTAGGCAGGGATTCTTGTCTACAGTTGCAGAAAGGGAGCTGAACAGAAGTCAGCATGCCTGCATGCATTTCTTTTGGCTCTTCGTTGTAGATGTGATATGGCCAGCTGTCTCACACTCCAGCCATTGTCCCTTCTCCATGATAATAGACAGTAATCTGGAATTATCACCAAAATTACTTTCTCTTCTAAATTTCCTGAGGTCAAGGAACAAAGATGAACATGGAGGAAGAATTCACATGATTACTATTTTTAGAGCTCACTACTGTTTTAGCGTGATGCATTATATTGGAATCAATACTTCACACAAAATATAAAAGAGGGAATTTATTATGAATTCATAAGGCATAGCTGATGGCTTCCAGAGGTGGGGACAATTTTGGAGTTCATATTCCTTAATGGAAATGTAAGATGATTGATTATTTCAGCAACTGAAATATTCCTCTCAACTCTAGGATTATAATTTCATTTTCTTTTATTGAATGTGAAATGGGCTCTGTCTGCTGTTTACTTTACCAAGAGTTGCCCTTTAATCCTGTCAGGATGATGCTATAATTCAGTGTAAAGCTTTGTTGCAGCTAAGCTTTTGTCTTCAATATACTTCATGGAATGTTTCTGTTTCCTCTCTTTTATTTATGCCTTTTGGTATTTTAATCGGCTATTATTCAGCACTGCTGGAAGGCTTTTGCAATTTTCTTATGAGAACTAAAGCCTCATTGTAGTGATCAGAGATAAGCCTTACCAGTGTTATGAATATGTAACTCCCAGCCAGAACTTGAGTGATGTTCAATGAATGCAGAACTCTTAGACCAGGTCTTTTAAACAGAAGTGAGTGAGGAGATTGTAAAAGAAGTGGCTTATTTATATTCTGATTTTTTTAAAATGCTAATGGAAAATGGAATTACAATGTCATTAGGAGCTTGACAGATCCCTTGCTCCATTCATCTCTCCTTTTTCCAGCAAACTGCTGAAAATCTGACAAGACTGCAAAGTATTATAACTTGAAACTTTTTCAAGTTCAATGACTGACAAAATGCTTTTGTTTGATCAAATGCTTTTTAGGCTGTTGGACTTTCATTCAGGTGATATGTATACTGCATATGAATCCCAAACGGTTAATATTGTTAAAGAATCAGTGCATGGTTAATACTGAGTGTCATCTGAGCAGGGTCTGCAAGCATCTAGGAGATGAACCTTGGGCATATTGGGGAGGGACTATCTAGATTAGGTAAATTGAGGAGTAGGGACCCACTTTAACAATAAGCAGCACTGTTACGTAGGCTGGGTTACTAGACTGAATATAAAGCAGAAGGCAGGCTGAGTCCCAGAGGTCATCACTGTCTGCTGCCTGGTGGCTGCTACTCCAGAAGCTTTCAGCTGCTTTCACCATGACTTCCTTATTCAGATGAACTGGACTCATGAACTAGAAGTGGAAGTCAATCCTTTATCTTATTAAGTCTTTTTTTGTCAGGATATTTTATCACATCACAGTTATGGGAAAAACAACAAAGAGAAAAATCATCACTGTCAACTTACATAAGAAAATACATATCTCACCGAGAAAGAGAGAGAGAGAGAGAGAGAGAGAGAGAGAGAGAGAGAATTTATACTGGAGCCAAATACGAGGAACCATTAGCCCAGAAAGCATGGAATTAGGTTACACCAGGGTCCATATTTCAATACGGAAATAGTTTCACCAAGTTTTTACAGAGAAAGTCATCAACAAAATGCATGTCTACAACTACAACATGTAGATGATAGATCTGACGCAGAGGTGACTGAAGGATAGCTCTTTCAGGGGTGAAGACAGCGCAAGAGAAATTTTAATCAAACTATCCAATCAGTAATTTTTAAACAATCTATAGACCTCGAAGACAATGTAGAAAATTTTGGACCAGTATTAAAAAAGGAGCCATTGTTGAGATAGTTCTAATGCATTTCAGGTGTTTAAAGCTGGTTTTATGAAGAAATGCCAAAGATTTGGAACTTTGGACCATTCTGGCTAAATCTGGAAAAAGAATGCAGAAAGAAACAGCACTGGGGATCCAGTTCACAAGTTTCCTGAAGGAAAAGGATTCTGCTAGGTACCTTCCTAGATACCATTTGTGCGTTATTCTTAAAAAAAAAAAAAGAAAGAAAGAAAGAAAAAGAAAAAAAGAAAAAAGAAAGAAATCTGCCTGTGTTCTACACATATCCTGAGAAATCATGTGAGGTTAATGTAAAGGTCTATAGTGACAAAAAACAAAAAGTCAAGCAAGAAAATAAAAAGTGTTCAAAGTAAGTCAAGGTAGCAGGTTTAGTGTTTCTGTCGAGAAAAACCAAAAAACAAAACAAAAACACAAACAAAACAAAACCAAAACCCCACCAGTAATTAAAGAGATTAGTGGCAATGAAGAGAAGCTTAGTGCTGTGTACTGGCACAGCATGAAAGGTGCCAGAAGGCTAAGACCCCACATAGCAAAGGCTCCATCTTCTAAAAGTATAAGTGAGGTTGAAAGGAGAGGGTCTAACCTAAGCATGATGGTGGAGGAGCTTCCTGCTCAAAAAGGACCACCCAGCAAACTGCTTCCCTAGTGTCACTGGACAAAAATGCCCATGTAACCATGTGCCAACAGGCCCAGGCTCCATTCTAAGTTATCGGAATAATTTTCCAGTATTGTTCACATGGTACTAGTTTTATAGATACAAAATAGTCAAGACTGAGGGCATCTCACTCTGTGATTCCAGAAACTCACTGAAGCCAACAATGTCTGGTAGGACTGGTTTCCAAGTGAAACATCTCTGAGGGGTCATATCATGAAGTCATGAAGATGAAGTCTGAGTTGTGGTGGAGACCCTAGGATTTTGGAGAAGGCAGAATTTTTGAATATATATCAATGTAAGCTTTAGGCTTATATGATGTAGGCCAAGGTGAGTTGCGGGCTGAGGAACTTTGCCACCTCTGCAAATTCTTGAGAGTTATAAACCTCTTAGTTCTGGGAGTTCAGAGGCTTCTACCTTAGTGCTTCCCAGTGTCTGCTTCTCCCCTTAGGGTATCCAGGCTAACTGTTTACTCAGCTTGACTGGAGGGAATGAAGCTTGGCCGAGGAAAATGGGTGCAATGCAGAACTTTAGTCAGTGGTTGGTGTATGAGAAACAGCCTTCTTGAGAGACAGCTTCAGTAAGACAGCTTCTTTATTTGAGGGGAACAAAAGCTATTTAAATTTGCAGGGGAGTAGGTAGAGGCTTTTGCCATGAGTGTACATTGTGAGCCAGGGTCAAGGTGCTGGGAATGTCTCTTTTGCATGAAGAGAAATCCAGGTACTTGCTGGACATAACCTTACAAGGAGAGAGGAAGTATATCTTGTGACCTGGCTGCCAGGCCACCTGACCGAAGGACCATAATGTTACATGTACTGGGACATTCAGGCTCAGGGCAGGGAGTGAACAGTCCGACTTTTGCAGATCTGCAGACAAGATTTTTGGAGCTGAAACACTTCGTGACCTCACTCTTGCTCTGGGCTGGCTCTCTCATCAGCAGTGCTCCTGGCCCCATACCTTAGGACCCCATCATGTAGTTATTCTCCTGTTGAAACTCTTCTTAGGACCTGACGGCTTTCTCTTCCTTCTCAAGACCCTGCTAGTGCAGGTCTTTAAGGTTAACCAGTCTGGATGTTTGCAGATAGTCATGTGGCTTTGAGGTGAATGTCTGAGCAACCCACTAGAAACGGCAATTTAGAAGCTACTTTTCCGGAAAGTGCTGACACTTCACTTGGGTGTATAGGGTAACTAAATGGAGGAAAGAAGCCAGACACCCGTTTCATTTTTTCTCTGTCTGTTTTACTTTGGACAAAAGTATAGACATAAATAAGAACAAACCTTTTTGGACATGCGTCCTCCACCCCCAGGAATGTGAGACTGCATGCGGAAGCAGAAGTGATCATATTGTTATAACAACATCAACATCGCTTAAGGAAGCGATGACAGAATTAGATTCTTCTTCAGATTACCTTGTAATACCTGAAATTAGATAGAGTCAACCAGAGCGTAACTAGGCCACAACTACACAACATGCAAACCTCCTGTCCCTTGCCCCATATTTCAACCTATGCTCTGTGTAATTACCCTGAATATGGTCACAGGATTGCAGGATTCCTTTCTTCAGTTCCTTTTAGTAATGTGTATATGTTGAGTAAATCCCATCTCTAATTTCCCACCTTACTTACCTCTTTACTTGGCATATTTGGGGTAGGGGACTAAGCCAAGCTTGTCGGGAAGCCAGAGTCCTGGCTTTTTTTCCCTAAAATTTCTTCCAGGAATACAGTGTCTAATGATTTGTGTTCTGTATTCTCCAAGAAAAAAAAAAAAAAAAAAAAAAGGCGATTCAGTAATAATGGCATCATGGACTTGTTACTAGTGGAAATGTTCTCAAAGGCCACACTAGAAAGTACTGGAAAATTATCTCAGTGAGAAGTCTCCAGAAATTGTTTATGAGGGTGAGATTTGAAGCCAGTGTGAGATTCAGGTGAATACAGAAGTAACATGAGTGTGGCAACACCACACACAGGGACATCCCAGGAGAGGCCAAAGCAAAGGCCACAGTGTCCCCTGAGCAGAGCTGTTGGCCCTTTGCAGAGAGCTAAGAAGAGGATGGTATGAGGTGACAGAGGGAGCCATGAGGCAGGTGCGGCTATCAAAGAAGTAGTATCTTGTTGCTCTCATAGATAAAAAAAAGAATGTAAAACTGGGCTCAGGAGGGAACCTGAAGATCGTTTGGAGTGTAAGAAAACAGTAAGAAAGACAGCCTGTTGAATCAATAGATGCTAGGAAAAGGGAGAAGGAAAAAGAAAATAACACAATTACCTTTTTCTGTTCTAGAAGTTCAGAACACCAGCAGGTATAGTGGGGCTGGGGGCTCTTGGGTTCTGTAAGATGTAGGTCATTAAGAAGGTAATTATTTCTCTCATTTCTCATCTTAAATTCAGGTGTATTCCATTATTTGGCTTCAGTCTGGCCTACTTTAGGTTGTAAAATAGGACTCTTTCCTTATCTCAGAAGCTCTCTGGCTTTACCTGGACATGCAGAGTTCCTACTGTCTGTGTCAGAATGTTATCAGTAGCCAAGGACCTAGCCATTTGTAAAGGTGTTTATTATCAATCATTCATATTATTTCTGTCAGAGACCACACATACTGTATTGGAAATCATATGTCCAAAATCAGGTCCTAGACTCAGGAGAAAAACCGTGTCTTTTTACTTACCTTACAAAGAAAGATATTGTTCCAGCTTCTTAGTGTTATTAAACCCACAGCATGGTTTCACTGCACTTTAAGTAAAAATAGGACATAGAAATTAATGAAGGAAACAGTGTTATATAGAATTTGAACAAAGCCAAGGCTGTGTCTAATTTCTTCCCCTTTGTGCCTGTTGCCATTTACAGTTTGTAGAGAGTTACTATGGACTGTGTATTGAGATTTCTAAAAAAGTTAAAAAGGAAAGTGTCATATGAGCCAGATCTACCTATACCAAAGGAGTCCATATCCAGCTACATAGATAGTTGTTGCTCATCCATTTCATTGTTGCTCTAGTCACAGCAACCAGGAAATGGGAAGCAGGTTAAATATTCATCAGCAGATGAATGAATGGCTCATTATCCAAACACGGTACATATAAACAGAAGAATTTTATTCAACCATAAAGAAATGTAGAATTAAAAAACTTGCAGGAAGTTGAGTTGTACTTGAAAATAGTGTATTACATACTATAACTCAGACTTAAAAAGACAAATAATGTGTGTTCTTTCTTAAAGTACATTAGAGCTTTAACTTTTGAATATGTGTAATTTTGGTCAAATGAACATGGGCATACAATCATAAAGCTAGAAAAAAGCCCATGAGAGAAGAATAAACATTTTAAGGGATGATTGTGGGAGTTTAATAGAACACACGTGGCTTGAAAGAGAAACTCAGATGCTAGGAACAGCAGGGTACAAGTACAAAGCGTGGGAGCAGGGAGATGTGATAGAGGAAGAGGGATGTGATGGGAGGGAAAGATCAATTAAAACAAACAAGATATAGAATGGGTGAACAGTCATATGGTATACCATCTCTGTGTATATCAGGTAAAACATTAAACAAATTGCAATTCTAGAACATATGTGTGCCTACCGATGAGATGCTCTGATTTGTCCTTTTCTCCAGGAAGGAGACCTGGACCCCGCCCCCATTTCTTCATTCTTCCTTATGGATCCTGAGATAGATTATATTCAACTCAAGTGGAGGAAAATAGGCCTTAATCATCTAGTGCTCTGGGTTCTCTTTTTCTCAGCTCACCAGCCCACTTTCTCACAGAAGTGCTGTTATCCTTCTTAACAAACTATTTCTATTTTGTGCACGATTTGAAAAGTCTAACCTTTTTTCCATCTCCTCCAGGTGGTTCCTGGAACTTTCATCTGGGTTGGTAGAGAGGCATCAGGAAGTGAAGAATTCCCTTGGAGTCGCAATGGCAGACCCTGCAGAGGGAAGTTTTTAGGATGTCCAAATTTAACGAAAATAGAGCTCACCACACCAGTGGGGGTTGTCAACCTGAAGACAGGTGGAGGAAAGGGGATCTCTATCCTTCTCTGGTTGGCCTGAAGAGGGATTCTAGGTATCATCCACCTAATTCCAGACATGTGAACATTACCTTGTTGACAGTAGCCAGTCCAGAGATTCCACCAGCATATATCAGAGGTGTCTGAGAGCCAAAGTTATCGTCTTCCTACAGCCCTGCCACCCCCAACACCCAGAGGTTCTTGCTCTTGGTCAAGCATTCCACATTGTTTTTAGTGTTGTTAAGGAAAGTGTGCTAGCCCCTGCTTTGGGAGTTACACTGTGGAGAGGTGCTTCTCGCTCTCCTGGCAGTTGTTTTGCCTGTCAGTAAACTTGCTCATGCTAAGATACCTTTTGTGAACAGGAGTCTCCTCCAGCTAAACACTTGTGAGAGTTGAGAAGAATGTTACTGTCTCTAATCCAGATCATAATTCTATTCCAGGGAAAATAGTCATACAAAAGATGAGAATAAAGACTGCAACTTACATCAACCACAGAGAGGGACATTCAGACTCAAAATGTGCAGTTGGTCCTCTGGGAGGGGTATGGGAAGAGAAGAGGGAGAAAGGGTAGGAGTAGGAAGGAGCTGCAGCTGCAACACAGGGTGTATAGACTGTAATTAATAAAAAATAAATAAATGGAAAAAATTAAAAAGAAAATGTGCAGTGGATGAGGCAGGCCAGTTTGTATGCCAAGTATTCTACTTTGTTCTCTGCAGGCCCCAACTGTGTCCCATGTGACCTGGATAGAATAGTGGCACTTTTAGGATTTGTTTTTTTGTAAGTCTGTGTAAAGTATTCCTAGATGGGTCCTTGAATGTTACAAAGGTGAGTCATGAATGAGACCATGTGCCTCCATTCAGTATCAGCTGTCTTAACAACTGAAGAAATACAGTCTCTCCCTACCACCTATATCAGACATCTGAACCTATAGCATGTTGTTTAGGAGCTGTTGTATCTCTACCCTTTCTTTTATCTCCTGAAAAAAAAGTGAATCTCAGATACTTTCTAAGGAAACCCAAACATTATCTACTGTCAGAACATGGTCCACAGATGGACTTGTGAAGATAATTCTAAGTGTTTGTGAGAACTAATAGAGTCTTATGACCTCAGTTTCTTCAATAAATGGAATTATTCTTAGAACGTGGTTTGTGCTCCTCCTAGTAGTAGCAGATAGGAGTGAGTTTACTTCCCTTTACTCATTATTGCTTGTTGTTGTTCTTCAATTAAATGTTTAAACTATCCTTTATATGGCTCTATGGAAAAAATGTTTTTGCCTCATGCATTAAGTGGCTTGTCTTTGTGGTATTATACAGCTTGATCTCATGAAAACGTTATTCATGTGATCTTTCTCTTAACAGAGAAAGTGTCTGAGGGTCTAAATAAAGTTGGATATTGTATGAGACTTTAGACTGTCTCCTTTATCAGCTCTATCCTCACAGGTCCCATCATCTCTAGAGCAGTGACAAGCTATCTTGCCTAAGTCGAAAGGAATGGGATAAACTGACCTGTTAGCTTCATCAATCCTCTTCTCCACATGAAGCAGTTGTGTGAAATGCTCTTAAGGTGAGAGTCAGAGTTCTATAAAGTGCTTTCTCCTCGCTCACCTTCAGACCCCTTGTGAATTGGGAGTCATACATCGAATATTGATAAGGAGAATCATGGGATATTCTTTCCAGTTCCAGCATTTACATTCTCCCCATTATCATGACAGCAAGAAAAAGAATGGTGGAAGAATGTTAACGATGCAGGGTGGAGCCTCTCAGAGGAGAGCTGCTAAGATTCACAGCCAAACATTAGGCAGAGTCTGAGGAGTCTAGCGTGTTGGGGTGAAGGTTACATGGAGAGGATAGAAGAACTGAAGGAGACTGGAACTCCACAAGAAGACCAACAGAGTCAAATAACCAGCTTTTATTTCTCTCTCTGTGTAGCCTTGGCTGTCTTGGATTCACTTTGTAGAACAGACTGGTCTTGAACTCACAGAGATCCAGCTGCCTCTGCCTCCCTGAGTAGTGGTATTAAAGGCAGGCCAGGATGGCACAGGCCTTTTTAATTTTTTTCTCACAGTGTTTAACTAATTTTTATTCATCTAAGAATTTTATATATTACACTCCATTTAGGGAATTTCCACTCATCTCTATCCCCTCTCCAGCTCTTCACATGCCTCATCCCATCACTAGGCAGGCAGAGGCAGGTGGATCTTTATGAGTTTGAGGCAAGCCTGGCCTACAGAGGGAGCTCCAGGGTAGCCAGGGCTGTTATACAGAGAAACCTTGTCTCAAAAAACCAAAAAACCAAATCAAACCAAAACAGAAAAGCAAAACAAACAAACAAAACCTTGGCCCAGGGACTTACAGGGACTGAAGAGCCAACCAAGGACCATGCATAGACTGGACAGAGGCTTCCTACACAGATGTAGCCAATGGTCAACTTAGTCTTCATGTAGGTTTCCTTGTAAGGAGAACAGGAACTATCTCTGATATGTACTCTGTTGTCTGCTTTCTGATCACAACTTCCTAACAGGGCTGCCTTGCTTGGCTTGCAGATGTGCTTAGTCCTGATGCAACTTGATATGTTGAGCTGGGTAATGGGGGGGGGGAACTCCCCTTTTCTGAGTAGTAGGGGAGACAGGGTAGGAGATAAAGACAGGGAGGGTTGAATCAGGGGAAGAGGAAAGAGGGGCTACGATGAAAAAATAAAATTTAAAAATTCAGTTCAACTCAATTAAAAAAAAAAACAGAATGAATTTTAAGAACAACAGAATGCCCTCAGCCTATCAGACAAGTTAAGAACAATTGAGTCCACTACTGTGAACACAGGTCCCTCAAGGATGTCCATGTTTTCATGGCCTAGGAATAGAATTGGACATGTTGTGCAGCAGAAAAAAATAAGGGCATAGTGACCATGGCGCTGACCTTCAGATAAGAAGGTGAAGCTGCTGATACATTATCTGTGGACCAATGTACAGGATTATCATGAACTTCAGCCAGGTCTGATGAACATGAATAAACGCTTCCCACCTTTGCTGCTACATTCCTACATATGTACTGTAGCTTCAATGCTAAGCACACGGTACTTCAAAAATCCATCTGCGTGTGTAGACTGCTCCCTCAGTGTACATGAGAGAGGTGTGCCTGCATTCCAGGCCCAGTATCATTGAGAAATAAAAGAGGTACTTTGGACAACATGGGTTACATATATTTTGGTTCAGAATTGAAATGTGTAGATTAAAAGCAACAGTCAATGCACAATCAAATACATCTCTGAATCTTATCCTGTAAAATTTTTCATGTCACCTAAAATTTGTAGATGTCTGCTAATCTGTCTTTGCTGTGAGCCTAACCATGATGAGGAAAGAAAATTGTGTCACCTGATGTCTTCTGCATGTTCTCATTTTTGCTGGGCTCCATAAATTCTTTCTGGACACCTCTTTCCACCTTCCTCTGACACCTTAACAAACTCTATTTGAAGAGCAGAATACACAGTTTTTATCCTAGATAGTGAGTGTTTAAAATGTTGTGGGTGTCGTATCAGACTTTACCCAGGCTCTTAACTGCCATTTTTTAAAGTAACTTATTTATTTATTTAAAATTTTTATTATTATCATTTATTACAATTCATTCAATTTGTATCCAGGTTGTGGTCCCCTCCCTTGTCTCCTCTCTATCCTACCCTCCCTTCCTCTTCTCCCCCTGTGTCCCTCCCCTAGTCCACTGATAGAAGAGGTCCTCCTTTCTTTCTAACTGACCCTCGTCTACCAGGTCTCATCAGGACTGGCTGAATCATCTTCCTCTGTGACCTCGCATGGCTGCAACCACCCAGGATGATGTGATCAGAGATCCTGCCACTGAATTCATGCCAGAGAAAGTCTCTGCACCCCTTACTAGGGCACCCACTTGGAGACTGAATCTATGGACTACATCTGAACCTAGGTTTTAGGTCCTCTCCATGCATTGTCCTTTGTATTCTATACAAAATACTTAGTGATATTTTGTCATTGAAGAAAACAAATTTATAACAGAATTCCATAGGAAAAAAAGAATTTCTCTACACATTTGGCATATTTTTTTTTAAAAAATGGTGATTTATTATTTCTTACTGAGCCATAAATTCATTCTTCAAAACTTCTGGTTATGAACCAGAATTTAACCAGGTATGGATCATCAATGATTTAAAAAAATCATACTCATATAATGATTAAAGAATGGACTTCCAAACACATGTTCTCATTCAGAAAATGCTTATAAAATGATCATTTATTATTATTGTGCATATTGTATATGTATAAATAAGAGTTTGTATATGCACATATAGATATATGCTGAGCCTGTTTTGGTTTTGGTCTGTATATGGTTTTAAGAAAAGATACTATCCCCTTGAGAGTGAGAGGGACACATGTGAGAGATTGAAGGGAGTATAGCTTATGGTATTACAGGAGGGAAAAGGAGGGGGAAAGCAAAGTAATTCTATTTCAATTTTTTAAGAAGTTCACTTATGTGCTTTTGTTTATTTTGATTTTTGTTTTTTTAATTTTATGAGTATGTGCTAGTATGTGCACACACCTGTGTGTGAGTATGTGTGTACATTTTTATGTTGGTGTTTTCAAGTCTGCATGTATGTGGAAGCTATAGGCTACTGTCAAGTATTTTTTTCATTCTCTTAATCTGATTTTTAGAAACACAGTCTTTCATTGAATCTGGTTCTCTTAAGTTTGGATAGACTGGCTGGCCAATGCGCTCTCTAATGAGGTTTGGGATCACAGATCTACAGCACTGAAGGTGGCTTTCCTGTGGGTATGGGGAATATGCAATCAGTCATGCTATGTGACATGCAATTTATCCACTAAACTGTCTCTGCAGCCCTCACATGACTTCATGTCATTTAAATACAATATTTGTATCTTCATTGTTCAATTTATTTGTATAATAAAGACAGCTTTTTAAAATGTGAAAGAGAAGGTGAATTTTGAAATGAAAAAAACGAGCAAAGTTATTCAGTGACTCCTTTTTTCAGGCTAAGAAGGGGAAAAAAAAGAGAAGAAAGGAAAAAGCACAAAACTGCCTTTGCCAATGTGTCTACATTTTATAGTTATGATGCAGATTAAGGTATATAAAAAGGCTTGTTTAAAATGTAAATTACATTAGTGTAGTGGAGGCAAGTCTGATACAAAACTAAAGGATTATGCTGTAGAGCTCTAAGGTAGACAATAGTTTCCTAGCATTTGCTACTGAGGAAAATCAACACTTTTTTCCTTTTTTTTGCCATTTTATTTATTTTTCTTTTTCATTTATTTATTTATTTATTATTAGTTACATTTTATCAACTCTGTATCCCAGCTATATCCTGCTCCCTCATTCCCTACCAAACCCTCCCTTATACCCTGATCTCCTCCCTGCCCCTTTCCAAGTCCACTGATTGGGGAGGACCTCCTCCCCTTTCACCTAACCCTATTTTATCACATATCTTCAGGACTGACTGCAAAGTCCTCCTCTGTGGCCTAGCAAGACTGCTCCTCCCTTGCAGGGTGGGAAGGTCAAAGAGCTTGCCATTGAGTTCCTGTCAGAAATGGTCCCTGTTCCCCTTACTATGGGAAACCAATTGGTTACTGAGCTATCACGGACTTCATCCGAGCAGAGGTTCTAGGTTATATTTATACATGGTCCTTGGTGGAGTGTCAGTCTCAGAAAAGACCCCTGTGCCAGATATATTTGGTCCTTGTGTAGCTCCTATCCTTTCCACATCATACAAACCTTCTTTCATATGATTCACTGCACTCTGCCAAAGTTTTGGTTATGAGTCTTAGTATCTGCTTTGATACACTGCTAGTTAGAGTCTTTCAGGGGCTCTCTGTGGTAGGCTCGTGTCCTGTTACTTGTTTTCTCCTACATCCAATGAACGGCCCATTAGTCTTTCTAAGTGAGGATTGATCATCTTACCCCGGGTCCTCTTTCTTGTTTATCTTCTTTAGGTGTGTAGATTTCATTATGTTTATCATATCTTATAGGACTATATAAGTGAGTATATAGCATGTGTGTCTTTCTCCTTCTGGGATACCTCACTCAGAATGATCTTTTCTAGATCCCACCATTTGCCTGTAAATTTCATGATTTTCTCATTTTTGATTGCTGAGTAGTATTCCATTGTGTAAAAATACCATAATTTCTGTATCCATTCCTCCATTGATGGACATCTGGGTTGTTTCCAGGTTCTGGCTATTACAAAATAAAGTTGTTACAAACATGGTTGAGCAAATGTTCTTGTTGTGTACTTGAGCAAATTTCGGGTATATGCCTGGGAGTGGTATAGCTGAATCTTGAGGAAACACTATTCCTAATTGTCTGAGAAAGTGCCAGATTTACTTCCAAAGTGGTTGTACCAGTTTACATTCCCACCAGCAATGGAGGAGGGATCCCCTTTCTCCACAAGATCTCTAGCCGTATTACAGAGCAATAGTAATAAAAACTCCATGGTATTGGCATAGAAACAGAAAGGAGGATCAATGGAACCGAATAGAGGACCCAGAAATAAACCCACACACCTACGGATACTTGATTTTTTACAAAAAGCCAAAACCATTCAATGGAAAAAAGACAGCATCTTCAAAAAATGGTGCTGGTTCAACTGGATGTCTACATGCAAAAAAATGAAAATAGATCCATATTTTTCACCCTGCACAAAACTAAAGTCCAAGTGGTTCAAAGACCTCAACATAAAACCAAATACTCTAAATCGGTTAGAAGAAAAAGTGGGGAAGAGCCTAGAATTCATTGGCACAGGAGACAACTTCCCAAACAGATCACCAATAGCACAGGTTCTCAGAGCAACAATCAATAAATGGGACCTCATGAAAATGAAAAGCTTCTGTAAAGCAAAAGACACTGTTATCAGAACACTTTGTTCTATTAAGGAATTAAGTAGGAGATTGAATCTAACGGCTACAACAGAGCAAGGGCTTTAGGTTCTTTCCATGCATGGTCCTTGGTTGAGTTATCATTTTCTGCAGGGTCCCCAAGACCCCCTCTTTTTTTTTCTCTGTTGGTCTCCTTTTAGAGTTCCTTTCCCCTCCAGGTCTTTCTAACTTAGTAAGGGAAGCAGGGGCTGTCTCTGGCATCCACTCACTGGCTGGCTCTTTGATCACCTCCCCTTGGGGGATGCAGCCATGCCAGAGCACAAAGGAAGACAATGCAGCCAGTCTTGATGAGATCTGATAGTCTAGAGTCAGAAGTGAGGAAAACCTTCCCTATGTGTGGACTAGGGGAGGGACATAGGAGGAGAAGAGGGAGGGAGGGCTGACTGATGGGGCCACAATCAGAATACAAAACGAATTAATTGTGATAAATAATAAATTTAAAAATTAAAAAGTAAATTAGGTAGGAGACCTCTGGGCAGATTGTGAAATTTTGTCTTAAAGTTAGAAAGAGAATGAAGGATATTAGCAACCCAAGTAACACAGCATCTTCTATTTAAAAAATATTCTTATGCTAGCTTTTATAAAACCATTTACAAAATATGTCCGCTACTCAGCCTTATGCCCCAAACTGAGACTGTCTTTTGCCAACACACTTCCCCACACACATACAATCACTCTTGTGCGTGTGTATATCTAACCTCCTATAGCTTCAATTACAAGTACTGTAGAGAGCCTTAAAAACAGAAAGTTGGGGGGGCAGAGCGAAGATGGCGACAAGCACACACAGTTCCTGAACTGTGGAAGAGCTAAACCATCGCAGTTCGGTGAGTAGAAGGTCCTCTGAACCCAGGAAAACAATGGTGAGGCTTTCTAAATGACAGGGAACATCGCGCACAAGGTGGGGAATTTGACCTCGGGTCACCCTGGGACTTGTTTGGGGAAAGAGAGAAAGGATCCTCTGATCACCAGCACTCCCCTCTCACAGACCTTTCCCCTCCCCCACACAGCGGACTCATGGAGATTCTCAGTGCAGACCTAAATGCCTAGAGTCTGAAGCTGCTGAGGTGGTGCTTCTACCTTTTAACAGCAACTGCCAGCAGTACCAGTCTCAGAGTACCAGAGACCAGCAGAACCAGACCCACGGGGCACCGTCCTCCCAGGGTCCCGGGCCACTAGCTGCCATACTGGCTCCTTAGGATCCCCCAGCCACGGACTACACCTGCCCAATCCCACAATGACAGATAATATGCTATATACTCACCAAAACCAGGCAGAAATGACATACAAGTTAAGCACACCAGGCACTGGGCCTCCCAAGCTCGGAGAGCACAGTGGAGAGCTTGCAGGAATTTGTAGAAAGCATCTGGACTGGCAAGCCAGTCCCCAGCTACAGAGGGACTTTGTAACCTGGCAGTGAAGCAGCATTGAGCTGGCAGGGCACATCAGGCCTCCAGCTTAAGACCAACCAGGGCTAAACCAGAGAGCAGAGGTCCCAGCTACCTCAATCCCTGCCAACCACCTAAACATCTCCAGCTACAGTAGGACTTCCTAACCCGGAAGTGGCAGCAGCACTGAGCTGGTGGAGCACATCAAAGAAGCAGGACCAAACCAGAGAACAAAGAGCCCAGATATCCCGATCCCTGCCAAGTGACCTGACTGAGAGTGAGTGCACCCCTGAGAACCTGCAGAGACCCAGACCCAGGGTCCTTATGAAACAGAAGCCAGGCATTGAACCCCTCCCACCCACATACCCACTTTGGGAAACAGAAGGACACTTGGGACATTGAAGCTCCTGCTCTGTGGGTCTAATTAAGGAGTTAAGACAGTTAATGCCAGAAATTGCGCTGCAATCATCACTAGCACCTGCAACATATACAGGGCAGAGCCCTTCCCACACACTCAAGGGTTCAACATTATCCATCACTCTGTCCCTCGAGACACACGTCCACATACACTTCCATACACACACAAATACACACACACACACACACACACACACACACACACACGTGCACGCCTGCATTTGCCCTGTCTGTATCTGCATACTTTTCTCCCACAGGTAGACCTAGTCCTCAGCACACGCTGAGGATACCAGACCTCTCTCAGCTTCCGGAAGAACTCTCCAGACGCCAGAGAGAGACAGTACCAGTCTGAACTGCAGAACCCAAAAACAAACAAGGAAGGTTTCAGATAAGCCAATAGCCAGGGGTAGGCAAAAGAACACTTCCAACATAAATCAGGACATCATGACTTCACCAGCAAACCCCAAAATTGATGGATACTCCAATTCATCAGAAGCACAGGAAAATGACTTTAAAGCCATGCTTACACAATTATTTGAGGCTCATAAGGAGGAAATGAACAAATCTTTCAAAGAGTTGGCCAGTCAATTGGAGGTAAAGAAAGAAGAAATAGACAAAAGCCTTAAAGAAACACAGGCAAACATAGCCAAACAAATAGAAGCACAAGTAGAGATAAAATTAGTGGCATATATAAAGGAAATGAACAAAGAAATAGAGACCATCATAGAAAGACAGGAATCCAAATTCAAACAGATGAAAGAAATGGTGCAAGGCATGAAAACAGAATTAGAATCAATAAAGAAAACACAAATTGAGAAACCCTTGAGCTGGAGAACTTGGAGAAAAGATCAAGAACCACAAAAGTAAGCATCACCAATAGAATACAAGAAATGGAAGAGAGAATCTCTAGAGCTGAAGACATACTTGCAGAAATCGATACTTCTCTCAAATAAAAAGTAAAATCAGAAAAGTTCCAATCACAAAATATCCAAGAAATCAAGGATGCTATGAAACGACAAAATCTAAGAATAATAGGAATTGATGAAAAAGAAGACTCCAGGCTCCAAGGTCCAGAAAATATTTTCAAAAAAATCATAGAAGAAAAATTTTCCAACTTAAAAAAAGAAATTTGTCCATAAATATATAAGAGGCCTACAAAACACCAAATAGACTAGACGAGAGGAGAAACACATCACGTCACAACATAGTCAAAACACTAAATCTACAGAACAAAGAAAAGATATTAAAAGCACCAAGGGAAAAAGGCCAAGTAACATATGAAGGTAGACCTATCAGAATCACACCGGACTTCTCATCAGAAACTATGAAAGCCAGAAGGGCCTGGGCAAGTATCATGAAGACTCTAAGAGATCACAAATGTCAACCCAGACTACTATACCCTGCAAAGCTTTCAATCAACATAGATGGAGAAAACAAAATATTCCATGACAAAACTAAATTTACTCAGTATCTATACAGCAAACCAACACTACAGAAGATACTAGAAGGAGAACTCCAATCCAACGAAAACAACTTCAAACAAGAAAACAGGGCATACAGATAATATCCCAACAAAAATGAAAAGACAACAAGCAATGAAACAGGGTAAGATCAATGACTCCATTACGAAAGGAACTAACATGCATTGGTCACTATTATCTATCAGTATCAATGGACTCAACTCGCCAATAAATAGACACAGGCTAACAGAATGGTTGCGGAAACAAGATCCAACATTCTGTTGCATCCAAGAAACACACCTATGCAACAAAGATAAACACTACCTCAGAGTAAAGGGCTGGAAAAATGTTTTTCAAGCAAATGGTTCCGGAAAACAAGCTGGAGTAGCCATCCTAATATCTAATAAAATACACTTTCATCCAAAGTTAAGCAAAAAAGATAAGGAGGGCCACTATATTCTCATCAAAGGAAAAATCCACCAAGAGGACATCACAATCTTGAATATATATGCCCCAAATACAAGATCACCTACATTCGTAAATGAAACATTATTAAAGCTTAAATCATACATTGATCCTAGTACCTTAATAGTGGGAGACTTCAACACCCCACTCTCATCAAGGGACAGATCAACTAGACAGACACCAAATAGGGAAATAAAAACACTCACAGATTCCCTAAATCAAACGGACCTAATAGACGTCTACAGATCTTTTCACCCAAATACAAAAGAGTACACCTTTTTTTCAGCACTGCATGGAACCTTCTCCAAACTAGACCATATAGTGGGTCAAGCAAGCCTCAACGGATACAAAAGGGTTGAAATAATCCCTTGTATACTATCTGACCACCATGGACTAAAGCTGGACATCAACAACAACAGAAACAACAAAAAGCCAACATGCACATGGAAACTGAACAACTTACTACTCAATGACAGCTGGGTTAAGGAAGAAATAAAGAAAGAAATTAAAGACTTCGTAGAATTCAATGAAAATGAAGGCACAACGTACCCAATTTTATGGAACACATTGAAAACAGTGCTCAGAGGAAAATTTATAGCACTAAGTGCCTGCAAGAAGAAATTCATAACATCAAATACAAGCAACTTAATGGCCCAAATGAAAACCCTAGAAAAAAAAAGAAGCAGATACACCCAAGAGGAGCAAATGGCTGGAAATAATCAAACTCAGGGCTGAAATCAATCAATTAACAAAAAAACAAAAAAACTATTCAAAGAATCAATGAAACGTAACGCTGGTTGTTTGAGAAAATCAACAAGCTAGGCAAACCCTTAGCCAAACTAACTAAACAGTAGAGAGAAGCTATTCAAATCAGGAAAATCAAAAATGAAAATAGGGACATAACTACAGACACTGAGGAAATCAAAACAATTATTAGGTCTTACTACAAAAGCCTATATGCCACAAAATTTGAAAATCTAAATGAAATGGACAAATTTCTTGACAGATTCCATGTACCAAAATTAAGTCAAGATCATGTAAAAAGACTGAATAGCCCTATATCTCCCAAGGAAATTGAAGCAGTCATTAACAGTCTCCCCTCCAAAAAAAGCTCTTGGCCAGATGGCTTCAGCGCAGAATTCTACAAGACCTTCAAAGAAGTGCTAACACCAATTCTCCTCAAACTATTCCACAAAATACGTGATAAAACAGAGTCAAATGAAAGGGGAGGAGGTCTTCCCCTATCAGTGTACTGGGAAAGGGGCAGAGAGGAGACCAGGGAGGGAGTGTGGGGTTGGGGAGGGAATGAGGGAGCGGGATACAGCTGGGACACAGAGTTAAGAAAATGTAACTAATAAGAAAAATAAAATAAAAAAAAAAAACAGCAACAACAACATGGATTTGATCTTTTTTCCAGTTCAGAGCCTGATGACTCCTTATTGATGTCAGAATGGATTTCTCAGTGCTTGTGCTGACTGCTTTCTCTGTGTTTAGACATGGCCTTTTCCTGTTTTTTTTTTTTTTCCTTAATGATAGGTAGTTGCATCCCTATCAGTTACCTGGATAAAGGTATTTTCAAAATTGTGCACTTGCTTTAGGAGAACCAGTTCATTTCCTAGCTTAGCATTTGCTACACATATTTCCAACTGAGATAGGAAAGAAGGGACTTGGCCAAAATCCTTGGCTGAGTAAGCAGATGTGATTGCTGTCAGTATTAGATCACCGTGATTCAAAGCTTATTTGGAGATCACAGACGAGCATATCTGGACAAGTGTGATATTAGTATGGACAACCTGTAAACATTGAATTGAATACATAGCTACCTTGCTTCCTCAGTGGATTTCTAGATTCTAGAATAATCAAGGATTCCTGGGGAACTTTATGTATACACAGGGCTTTCCTTCCCGACTCGCAGGAGTTCAATGGTTCCTGGGGGGTGGGGTGAAAAGAATGGGGTAGGACACAGAGACGCAAGGAGGGAGACCAATTCTGTTTGTCTGATCAAAGCCTCGCTTATTAGAATTTTTTACCCAAATTATAGGGAGAAGGCAGGAAACGGGGAAAGCAGGAAAATCACTGCTGCAGGAGATAGGAAGAGTGCTTTCATGGCTTAAATATTGCACCTGCAAGATACCATAAGGATGTTTTCTTAAGATATCTCACAGATGCTCTAAAACTAACAGACGGATGTCCTCACAAATCTATCACCCATGATTTAGGGTCCTAAGTAACTCTTTCACTAAATAGCTTTAGGTCTCTACTAAATGACCTTTGCTCACTATTTGACTTTGGCCTCAGTAAATAGCTTTGTCTCCACTAAATAACTTTGGCTCTCTATTTGGCTTTGGCCTCACTAAACAGCGTTGGCTCCCGGCACTTTCCTACACAAGACCGGACAAATCAACATTCAAGCAAGCAGGAAAAAGGGATCACAAGACTTTCTTCCAGTTGAAGAATTTTAGGAACTGAGAACGATTGGATTTCTTCATGGATGCATAGGGCACTCATGCTCAAGGAGTCAGCATGAGTAACTTAGTGGACCTAGTGAGTCTTGTAGTGGTTACAAAGGGATCCTCTTCATATACGAAAAATATAACTTTAGAAAATAATTATAGAAGAAAAGGGCATGAATTTGAGAGGG